CGGGCCGGGCCGGGGTGCGGGGCGCCCCACAAGGCCGTGCTGAGGGGACGCTGCGGACGCCCCAGGGCCCGGGGAGGGGAGACGCGGGGGCACGGGACGCCCCCATCCCCTGCAGGCTTCTCGTGCCCCGAAGTCAGGCCCCAGCCTCGCCCCTCACGGCCTGGGCCCTGTCGGGCGATGCTCCCCCAGGCTCCAGCCAAGCCTCAAGGCCCTCTCGCCAGCCCAGCAGCCAGGGAGAGCCGGTGTCCCAGTCCGCCTGGCGCGCGCGGAAAGCTGTGCAGCTGGCTTGCCGTGGCCTTGCGTGGGTCACTTCACCTCACCGGACCCGTTGCCCCGCAATGTCCACACGTGCAGCCTGCACCCGTCTTCTCTGCCTGACCTGCGATCCCATGGGGAGCCCATCGCGCCACGGCCCGCGGGCCCACGCGGCTGCACGGGACAGCTACACGTGTGAAAACCAACCCCCCCGCCGGGTTGCAGAAACCAGCGTGCCCCAGAAACGGGTGAAGGTTCAGCGTTGCCACACAGCAGAGCTGGAAGCGGCACAGAGCGAACAAAGGTGAAAGAGCCCGTAAACACGGGGGGACCCGGCTTCCCCTCCGCCCCGCAAACTGCAGAGCAAAGAGCCCGAACTCAGGGGGGACCTGGATGCTGGCATCGCCTTCACGTCTGAGACGTGCACCGGGGAAAAATGCTCTTTCCCCATGCATGGGCCCTTTTCGACTGAATATCCCAAAGGGAAATTCGTTATAAATATTTATTGCATCTCAAAACTAGATAAGGATGTTGCCCCCATGGGCAGGAAGTCAAGCAGGAGAGGATGGGAAGTGGGGGCATCCCTCCCCACCCTCGCCAAGGCCCCTTGCGTCTGCCAGTGCTCTCACAGCCCCCCTATCCAAGCCGTGTCGCTCTGAGCCCAGCGCAGGGACCACCGGGGCAGGAAGCAGCATGGCTGGTTCTACAGGAGCAAAAGGAGTCGCGCTGAATCAGAGGATGCAGGACTGGATCGGTCCCCTCCATCTCTGCCTAGCCCACGCGCCATGGGACATGCATGACCATGCCCCGGCCCCCGCTCTTGTACTGGGCAGGCACGTGCATCCTGCTGGAAACCAGTCTCCCAGTGGCTTTAACGGGCAAGGCTTTCAGGATTTGCCTTGGAGACCTCGAAGCGGACACTAAGTTGGCTTGAGCCATGAGACAGGTCTGAGGGCTTTGCTCCAACTCCCGGGCCAGCGGAGGTACATCAGCCCCTGCTCTTGTGTCCCTGATAGGCAGCATCTCCCTCTACCCAGGGTCCTGGAAAAGCTGTGGTGCTAGGTTCATGCTTGGGGCAGGATGTGACCCCTCATGTCGCAGTGCCTGGCTGCCCCTTTCCACCCTCAGGGAGATGCCTTCGCGTTGTCAGCCCATCTCTGCGGTTCCCCAGACTGCAGGCCCAGGCGTGCTCTCAGCGGAGCAGCCTGCTGAGTTGGCTGGCGGCCTCTGCTCTTCTGTGCGACGCTCGTGCAAAGCGGCTTACAGCCCCCCAGGCGCTGGGGGTGCTCCCAGCCCAGCTCTCCCCAGGCATCCCATGCAGCAGCTGTGCATTGCTGCAGCCCCAAAGCCAAGCAGAGCTGCTTGCTTCAGATCCTCCACCACGCTGCCTCAGATCCATCCCCATGCACACGCCATCGCCCAAGATGGCAGCCAAGTTCCCTGCTCATCGGAGGACGGGAACAGGAAACCACCACCAGGCAGCTGGGCTGCTTTGGGGAGTCTCCCCTTCCTGCCGGGACTGGACAGGCAGCTGCCATCCGTGCTCCCAGCGCTGCATGCATGGACACCCCTGGATTGCTACAGCACAGAGGGGCGACACTGCCGGGCACAGCATCTGCCTCTCCATTCACGCAGCGCAGCAGCTGGGCCAGAGCAACCTCTCCAGAGGGCACTTTGCCTAGCCCTGCACTCAGGCTCAAGGTCTCAGCCCTTCCCAGGCCTCCCTGGGAAGAGGCTCTGGGAATATCACATCATGGCCTGCCTGAGCAAGGCAGGAGAGGGGGTCATAGCCAGGCTTGGGCACCCCGAGTGGCAAGACTGGAGCCTTGACCAGCGTCCACAACAGCCCAGAGGCCTCAAGAGTCTGGGCAGGCAGCCGTGTGCATGCTCGAGTGAGCACACGTGTGTGCATGCATGCAGAGAGCTGCACCCTCTGTTGGATACAGCCTCCCAGAGCAGCCCACGCAGGCCAGAAACCAGTGCCGAGGCAGGGAGCACAGCAGAGGCAGAGGGAGGACAAGTGTCCTCCCGGGTCTAACGCCCTGCCCCTAGCCCCCTGCTCAGGGCTACCTGCATCCCCTACTGCCTCTCAGTCCCGAGACTCACCCGAGCACAGCGCAAGAGGGGCCAAGTCTGGCACTGCAATCCCCAGCAGCGCTGTGCTTGGGGCAGAGACGCCTCCTGCCAGGGCTGAGAAGAGCCCCTTGAACCTTTCAAGCATGGGACCCATGGCAGAATCTGCACCCGGGGCCACAAGGAGGGAGCACTGACCCTCGGGCCCGTGGGTTGGGAGGGCTCAGGGCACTGGCGGTTCTCCAGCCTCGCAGTCTTTTGTAAGAAAATACTTTATTGCAGAAGCCGCACTCGGAAAACCACCCGACTCCAAACTCTGATGCAGGGGCCGGGATGAGCCCTGCCCAGAGCCATGCACGAACCAACACGCGTGTCGAGCCCTGGCCCCTGCACTGCCCCGGGGCCTAGGAGGTTGTGCTGGGTCAATGCACCAGCCTCGGTGATGCCAGGGAACAAGGGTGCAGTGCTGCTGTGGGACCAGCAGGGGGTGCTCGTGCACCTGTCTAGGGGGGTGGGAGCAGGCTCCCAAACCCCTGATGCTCAGTGGCTTCAGGGAAAGGCAGAGGGGAAAAAAACTACAGCTTTGGGTTTGGGGCACGGAAAGGGCACAGACCTGCCCGGGTCCTACGTGTCATTTGCAACTACAAGAAGTGCCACAGCTGGCTGCTCCCCCCGTGCACCTACGGAGCGGCTTGTACCAGCACCAGGGCAGGAGCCTTTGGTGCAGGAGCCTGGCTGGGGAAGGTGGCCTCTGGCAGCTTCCAGACGGCAGCAACAGTCCGCAGGCCAGCAAAGGTGTCCCCCACCCTGGGCACCGCTGCTGCGGCCACAGCCATGGACGGTAGCGGGGAGTCTTGGCCGCTCTGCTCCATGGCAGCGATGGGAAGAGGGGCGGTGCGGGGGTCTAGGCCAGGGGGCACCAGGCAGCCCAGGGCAGGGAGATGCACCCTGGCTGGAGCCACCACAGCGCCAGGAGCAGCCAAGCAGGCCCCTGGCTCTGGCCCCTACAAGACTTTGGGCCGGGCGTTGAGGCGGATGACCTCATGGTAGTCCTTGACAAAGCGCCGCAGGCGGTCCAGGTAGGGGTTGATGTTCTCTTCCATCCACTCCTCCACCAAGTCAGGGAAGAAGATGCTCTCCAGGTGGGCGCGGAGGGTCTGCACCAGGTTCTCCCAGTCCTCCTGCACCCTGGGGTGGAGGAGGCTGCGCATCAGAGCTGCAGCCGGGGGCATAGCGAGCTGCTCCCTGGGGCCCAGCAAGGCCATGGGACGCCACTGACCCCAGGGGATCCCGCCCGGCCATCCCTGCCCAGCCCCAGGTGTTGGGGGGGACCCCCAACCCCAGCTCACGTGCTCAGGGAACACTAACACTCCCTCTCCGACCCCCTGCGCACCCCTGCCAGCAACGGGACGGGAAGGGGTTTCCCAAGCCGACAGCGCAGTGCCAGCACAGCAGCAATAGCTGGGGGCTAGTCCGTGCTCAGACACCTGCTCTTTGTGCATGCAGGGTGCTGCTTTCAAGTTCATGAGGCCCCTGGCTGAAAGAGCCCACCTCTGCCTCCCCTCCGCAGACCCAAAGGGGAAACTGAGGCATGGACAGCAGAAGGGAGGCAACTAAAGTCCCTTGGGAAATCTGTGCCCGGTGCCCAAATCTTGCAACTCCCCATACTCGGTTTCATGGCAGAATCCACCCCCCTTTCACAATGAACCGCCCGGGGCAGACCCCGCGCCCCGGGACCTCACGTACTTCAACACCTTGCTGCCGAAGCTCTCCATGTTGCGGGGGTTGCCGAACTGGTGCTTCCTGTGGTAATGGCTGAACCATCCCTTGATAGCGCTGGCAAGGGAGACAGACACCACCCAGCAAGGTGACCACCGCGCAGCCCGGCCACCAGCCCCAGCAGGGCTCTCCACCCTCCCCGCCGGCACAGACCCGCAGGGGAGCTGCTGGAGGGCTGCGCCCAGGCTGGGAAGGGCACAAGCCCGGAGTCAGGGCATGTGACACCCCTCATACAAGACCCCGTGTGCCACTTCCTAATAGACTCTGGTTGACTTTAACCCCAGGCCTGAAGGCATAAAAGGCTCCCCCTTTGCATGTGCACACACCCCCGCCAACACACGTGCACACATACACACTCCTGGCTTCCCAAGCTCCAGGAGCCTCCGAGCCCTGCAGGTTTGTCCTGCTACCTCAAGCTAGCAGACACCAGCCAACCCCGGGGCGCACGTACCTCTCCTCCTCCAAGA